TTAACCATTGTCCTTTAATTATGCTTGATCAGATGAATCCGGAACTTTTCGGTCGCTCGGAGAAATTGCTGTTTTAAGCTGTTGCGCGCGCTGTTGGCATGCTTCCCCAAACTAACTTAATTCCATCAAATATTATCAGAAATCATATTTCCTAGTTCTATAGACCATTTATAGCTCATATTTTAAACCTAGAGCTCAAAACTCAATCGGCACGTTTTACGGTGCAATCGTACCGCGGTATTTTTACCCGATAAAAACACTATTCACTGATTTTTCAGAAACTTGCCTAACCACTCAATTTTTCGTTCTGAATCCGTTTTCAGGGTTCTTTTTATCATCTGAGACCTTCTACTCAATTTTATCTTCCTAGGGTTGTGTGCATGGCTAATTACCGTTTTGCCCTTTTCTTTGTATTTTGCCTTATACTCAAGATTTTCACTAATCCTTCTTTTTAATTCTCATTTAATGTATTAATATTTAAACTTAGAAATGCGAGGTGTTATAAATAGGATCCAAAGACCCATCAAGCACAGGTGGCATATGCTTCCTGAAAGCATTCAGCCGACGATCAATCACGTCACGATCTTCAGCAGGCCTACAAAGGTCTCCATCGTCTCAGCGACATAAGTAGCACTGCCAATATGACTCAGGCTCTCATCCTGAGCACTAGGTGGAGGCGGCGGCGGCGGAAACTGACCTACAGCAGGACCAACCCTCATCTCCTCCAACATGACTCTCATCATCGTCATGTTCGCCATCCTGTTCGCCTCGAGGATATCCTCAGTGGTCCTTCGGTTTGCTTCACGAACCTCTTATGCGGCTATCCGGTTCTCCTCGCGAACAACGTCCATCATTGCCGCGTTGGCTAATCTAGTGGCCTCCTGATCGGCTCACCTAGCCGCCTGCATCTCAACCAATGCAGTCAGGATAGGTTCGGGTTGATCCTCAGAAGTCTCTCGTGTTCTCCCGGACCTTACCATGACTCTGCACAAGTTACACAAATTATGAGTTGATCAGGCCCACACAATGTGATTACGTATGCATTATCATAATAAAATTCAACGGAGTAAACACACAAGACAGACGCAACCAAACATCCTAGCTATTGCAATACATACAGGCTTTTCCCTCGAACCATTGCTCTGATACCATAAATGTAACACCCCGTATATATCCGGTAATGTTGTCATACTATCGTATTAAGCTGCGCTTAATTAAAAATGCGAAATATCTTTTTCTTTTCAATTATGATGTCATTAATCATTACCAACCTGATTACTTAACCATTTTCAAAACATCGCCTGTATGTATATTGCAATAAATAGCTAACTGGAATACCTCATCAATTAATTAACATAAGTATGTCTCTAGTCACGGAACTACCACACGTAGACCGGACCCACTAGCAGTTTATACAACTCAACTCAAAAGCACTAACAACATGGTGACATGGACAACTCCTATGCTCATCCCAAATAAGGCAACAAAGCCCACATAAGTCTCAACTCAACAGCAACATAATGATAAAGGCGGAAAACATAAACAACATCCAATCCAGCCATGCCAGCATATAATATATAACAGCAATAATCATCAACTAAGCTCTGGCCTCCTGCCGCCAGAGACATCAGTCCCTATACTACCTGAACCTGAAATAAGCATTCCCCAAATGTGGGGAGAGATCTCTAAACAAGAAATCACAGTAAGACAAGGGGTCCTCAATGATCTTCCACCCCAAGCTCACTTACATGTGCAATATAAGTTCAAAAGCAGTTTATCATCATCAGTTCTCAAATAGTGCAATGCAGCAGATAATCATGTCATGTGTGTCAATTATATTCTACTGGCCAGAGAAATGCAGGATTTATATACGCCAAATACCCACACATAGTGCAAGACGCTACTTGCATCCTCCCCGGATCACCGTCTTGTATGACGCCACATACTCAGGCTTACCGTCAAGATGGAACAACACATGCATATTAAAAGCCATTACACATAAAGCTCAACAGCATTTCAAATATCCAAAGCATGTAACACAGCATGCATATAACCATACCCTCATGGGACATGGTGGAACCACAACATGGCTAAACCGAGGACACAAAAGCTTACCTTTTAAGCAATCAATCCAAGTCAAGTCCACACAAGCTCAATGTCCAAACACAACAGATCACAATCTGATTTAGGACCAGTAAGCATATCAATATTGATAGTTCTAAAGCATAAACATAAAGACTACGTTTTTCCTTTTACGTTTTACGTCTTAAGGCTTCCCACAAAGCCATAAGCCCTTAATCCCTTGATTCTGACTTAGTTAAGTAATTACAGAAGTTCAACTTCATCAATCTAGGGTCCACAAACCCCAATATCCTACTGTAGGAACAGTACAACCACTGTTCTTCGAAATTCCAGAATATCTGGATATATGTCGGGGGAATATCCAGATATCAATATCCGGATATCTCACTGGCAATATCCGGATATCAATATCCGGATATCCAGATCCCCATATTCGGATATTTCGCGATAGAATGCAGTTTCTGCATTCAGCGAAGATATCCAACAAAGGTCCAACTTTTACCAATTAAATGCGTTCAAGACTCCATTTTTAGGTCTATACAGGTTCATACACATGTTAGTTACTTGCTTAACCCATTTACATGCAAAAACACCACCTTTAAATCATTTAAACTCATGATCAAGGTTAGGCAACTCACCAAAGCTTCAAACTCAGAAATGGAAGGCTCTTGGAGCTCACAACCAACTCCAAAGGTTCTGACTTGGTCCCAAAACGAAAATGACAACACAAGCTTGGACCTTTCAACACAAAGGAAGCTCCTTGAAGCTTCACAAGCCAAGAACAAGATGACTCTCACCCAACTCTCAAACTCAGCACAAGAACCTCACACACAGCAGCTTAGAATCTCAGAAAAGGCTACCTCTCACCCTCACAAAGCCACCTACAAGTGTTTACAAGGAGGAAATGTGAAGGAAAATCAAGAAAGATAAAATCTTGGTCTCAAAATGGAGAAGAGAGCCCAAGGACAAGGCACCAGCTGACCAGCCTCCAAGCACTCACGTAGGATAGTGTTATGGCCTAGGGTTTAGTGCCCAAAATAAGTTTTTATAGTCACTTAACCATAAAACATACATTATTAACTTTAAATGCCAAGCTTAGAATTTTAATCCCAAACTCAGGATTCTTAACCTTCTCAATTTTACAAGAATTATCATATTTTTCTTATATTTTTCGTAGCACCTTTTCGGTACGCGCTTTTCATAGCCAGTACCAGTTTCTGGCACCAGTTCTCATTATTTTAACTTGAAACTTGTTTTACAAGTCCTATATATTATTCTAGTAATATTCATGCACTTATTATAATTTTCCGGGATACTTTCTTGGTACGCATTTATATCGAGTAGCAGAACCGGTATCTGCACTTTTCGTCCGAAAAGCGACTTTCAACATTATTACTCACTTATTATAATTATTAAAGCTCATAATAATTATTAGGGTCAATTATAGAATTATTTCCTAATTTCACATAATTAAATAATTAACTTCCTTAATTAACAGTGCGGGTTCTTACACAACGTTTCTACTTTGCTGTTGAAATTTGAAATCGAATCAACTTATCTCCTTCTTCTTATCTTGTTTGAGTTTGAGTTTGAGTTTGTTTCTTCTTGACACCTCATTTCAATTTTTTATGTAAATGCTCATAACAATGGCTGGGTTGGATGAATTGAGAAAAAAGCTTGCATCTTTTTTTATTGCTGAAGCGCCATTGAAGAGAAAGAAAGGGGAGGAGAGAGAAAGAGCGAGAGGCAGTCAGAAAGAAAAAGTGGTAAAAGAGTTTACTTTATATCGTAAATCTCCACCGTTGGATGAGATTGTAATCTAACGATATTGAAAGGGGTAAGTACAAATAGACAAAATAAGGGTAGACAGAATAACCTATCTCCATAAATATAACATTTGAATTGAGTTAAGGATTTGTTTTTATTTAGTTTTATAATTTTCATGTGAAGGTGATACTATTATAAAACTTATGTGCCAAAATTTGAAACAAAAAATTATTTTAAGATATCTCTATATTAGTAATTGAGATTAATTTTCCTTACTTTTTATTGTCTAATTTTCCTTTTTATCCAACAGGTGATAGATACTTGAAATCAAGTTTATCCAGTTTCAACTTTTTGTTGTACTATATTGAAAATTAGATTATCGTTTAGTGATCCTTCTAGATTGCATAGTAATTATTATACAAACTTTACAAAGCCAATAAATAGAAAAGAAGGAAAAATGTTTGTCATTTTAAATAACATAAAGTTATGTCATTTTAAAAGAGAGATAGACACAAAAAAATATTTTTTATTTAAAATTTAAATTAAAAAAAACCACTCACTTTCTCTCCCATGATTTCCATTCCTTGTGTCTATCTCTCTCTTAAAATGACATAACTTATGTCATTTAAAATGACAAATATCAAACCCTACAAAAGATATGATATTTGCACAATAATCTTCATAAAAAAAATCAAAAATCAATCCAATCCAAACTGAATAAAATTGGATTGGATTGAAAAAAAAAAATCAAACTGAATGGACGATTATATGATCAAATCGAAGAGATTGGATCAGATGATTTTTGTTTCCAAAATCGATCCAATATACCGGACCGTGAACATCCCTAGTAATTATGGTGGAATATTTTATCATAATTTTTAAAAACCGGTTCAACCAAAAAATCGTTAATCGTTAATGGGTTAGCACTAATTGAACTCAAGTTTTTACTTGTTCACCAATTTTTGACCGAGTTACATGCGTTACTAGTTAATTGATTGAACCAGAACTTTATAAAAAAATCGCTTGAACCGAACCGATTAGTGGTCCGGTCTCGGTTCTTCTGGTCTGACGGAGTTGAGCCGATTTTAATAATATTGCTACAAACAACCTTAAAACTCAAAACAATACTGTAAAAAAAAAAAAAACTCAAAAACAATATTGGGGAAAGAAGGAAGGGGGAGAAAGAACAGCCTCTAACGTTGATAGTGTGTGAGAAGCAATGGTTAGCGAAGAAGAGAGGGTTCTGGAAAAGCAAATCGAACTTCAATTGCAAGAACAAAGGGATTCTCTCTTTGCTATTGATCAAGCTCTTCTCTCTGATCCAACCAATTCCGAGCTCCTCGCGGTACCTCTCTCAATACTCTTTTTCCCAATTCAATCCAAACCTAAAAAAGTAAAAAAATAAATAAAAAATTAATCTTTTTAACAACCACTTAAAATTTCTGTTGGAATGCACGTTTATTTTTTCTGTGGGGTTCTTAATTGTGTTAAGAATTGAGAATTTATTAGTGGGCCATTTGTTTCAGTTCAAAGATTGAAACTTTCCGTGGTCCTGTGGGTGGATAATTTGCTTCTCCGATTTGTGATGGTTAATTAGTTTAGATGTTTTAAGTTTTTTACTTATTTCTCGAATTTGATCATGTTGTTGGCAAAAAAAGCGGAATACTGAGGATTGGGAAATGTGCTGTTTCTCAAATGTAAATTTGTCATTCTTAAAAACTCTAATTGTTGTGGTGTTTAATTAAATCTTGTACTATCTTAATGACTTATATTTTCTGGTTATGAACAATTGGAGAGTCATGGTGAGTGAAGGAGTTCATGAATGTGATTTATTGTTTGTGTCATTTTTAGGGTTCTTTTTGGCTTCTGCATTTTTAAATCTGTAGTACTGACCTGGCTAGGAATCCAGAGCCTCTTTGCAATTATGCAAAAGTAAGGCTTCATATAAGAATTGTCCTCGCTGGGTGGGATTTATTGGGAAGTGGTTTTAATACTGACCTGGCTTGGAAAATCTATTCGAGTAATTGGTTGGCTGTTCTGTGGCTATGTAGGTGTATAGGATTGATTGCTGTTCTGTGTAATATTCTACTACTTTGGTCATATGTTACTCAATCGGCGCATGGAGTCTATGGTGTTTTGACTTAAGATTTGAGTATGTTGGATAAGTGTAGTCAAAGGGGCCGATGCAAGCTGCCAGAAGGGGGTGGCACCTCTTGCTTGTTGAGGCACTGTTCCTTCAGTGAGGTTACCTCTGGTTCCTTTTGCACACAATTTTGGTTTAGGTTAGGCATGTATCTAGTGCCTTATTGACAAATGATAGTAACTATAGAAAAACCCAAAAAGGCCAACCATCTAACTTGCTAACTGTGTTGCTAAAGAAGGAAATACAGTCAGAATGTTAAAACAATAACTAGTTGTTGACCTTAAGGACTCTTAGTAGCAAGCATATTAGTGTTTTGTACATGTTACAGTGCAACCATAATCACATAAATCTCATTAGTTATTTTAAATCTCCTAGCTGCATCAGCTTAATGAACAAAATTCACTTGTATTGGAGAATTGTTCTGAGCTAGTGTTCACGGGATTATGGCTAAGGTTGTCAAACTCAGATCTTACATTTGGTTGGACAAGGGAGTTAGATACGTGAAATGTGGGGTTGTAGCATGAAATGTAGGATCCTACCGATTATGTAAAATTATATTCAAGAATGGCAAAGAACACACGATTCAGTTCTCTTTTACAAGCATGCAATTTATCTACAATCCCAGCAGATTGTGTTCTCACCTGGGATCAGGATCCATGACCATAAGCTGGTGCAACATGTAGCATCGTATGATTTTAAGATTTGGAGTGCGATTTTGACTACCATGATTTCTAAGCCAATCTAAGATTCCAATGATAATTTTATACTTCGAATCTCTTAATTTTTTTTGATGTTACAGGTTCACGAGGAACTTGTCCAGGCAATTAACGATGCAGAGGAAGGACTTTTTCACCTAAAACGTGCACGATTGTTACAGGAAGCTGATTCAGTGCTGCATAGCACTAATATTTTTCCTGAAGAAGAGAAAGTGGAGCCCCTTGATCCCACCGATGTTGAACCAGAGCCACTGGAGGAAAATTGTTATTCTGTTGGATCTAAATGTAGATTCCGTCACAAAGATGGGCGTTGGTACAATGGTCAAGTGGTGCAGTTGGATAATTCAGTGGCAAAGATTTCATTCCTTACTCCCAGATCTGAGAATATGCTGGTACGTAAGATTATCTCAGGTCAAGTGTGGCCATTTTCTCTTTCACTGTGTTGACAAAAAGGTATATTATGGTATTCTATTTTATATTACTAATACAGTTTTTGTACCCCTACTTTTGCTCTGCTGTAACTAATTATGAGAAAATAAGGGAATTTGAAGTAACAACAGTTTGCCAAATTTTGGATAGAATTTGATTAATAAACACTGAAGTTAGGAAACACAGACAATGATAGGTATTAAGCTATATTTCCAATTTTCCTCGGATTTTTTTAGTACTAGAAAAATAGAAAGCCTAATAGTAAGGTTATATATGCTGTCTCCAATACAAACCCCCCAACCCACCCCCCCAAAAATAAAAAAGAAGAAGAAAGTGATTAGCTGTATGTTGCCGTAGTTTAAGCAGGATATATTGTAGCAAATGTTAAGTGTTGGTCCTAAGTAGGGGTGTTAACGGACCGAGCCGAGCTGAACTTTGGTCTTAAAAAGCTAAGCCTGTGTCTAAATGTGTCAGCCTGACTATGCCTGTTACATGTTATGAATATAATTATCGGCCTGTGGCCTGACTTATTTATTAAAAATAAAAGTTTGGTTTAGCCTGTTTAAAAAAAAAGACAACAAAAATTTATCCAAACATAATATACAATCAACAGCACTAGTAATTTCATAAATATTCATAAAATCAATTTATATCCAAACAACATAATATAGAACAAAATCATTCAAAAAGTCTGTTTAACTAATAAAATGGGTGAAATGGATTGAGGAGAAAGAAAGGGCTATTACAAGTAGTATAAAAATTATAAAATAAAAATAAAAATTAATATACTAGGCCAGCCTGAGAGGCTCTAAGGCTGAGCTTTTGAATTGGAGCCCGAGGCCTTTTTACTAAACGAGCTTTTATACAAGTCCAAGCCTGATTCCTACAACCAATTTTAGACATGTAAGCTTAGGCTTTTACGAGCGGAGCCAAAGGCCCTTGAAAGGCCCCTGGTTCATTTACCACCTCTAGTCCTAAGACAGTACAGTGCATATTTTCCAGCTCGCGGGTTGCTGTAATTCAAATACTGAAAACCATGACTCATGACTCACAAAAGTTAGGCAATTGCCGAGTTTTGTTTTAAATGGAATTTCCTGTATTTCATTATTCCAATACCACATTTCTGGGAATTTTGTTTCTTTTTTTTGGTTTTGGTTTTCTTTCTCTGGTCTGAGGATTCCTTATCCTCCATCTTTTTGTGCTGTTTCTCTTTCTAACTCTAATACAACTTGTTTTGTCAAAAATAAAAGCCATATTTCTAGGATTCTTGTTAAAAAATGTTAAAATCATTCAGCTATGTGGACATTTGTTCTATATTTGATGTTACAACGGCTTAGGTTCTTCTCTTTGTATTTTAAATTTATTCATTAGCAACATGTTTGACATATTATTTATATGAGTGGTGTTAATGGTAGGTTGGTAGTCCTGACACATCTCATGAGAGTTGGACACTAGCTGTTTTATGATATTTTTGGCTTTCAACTTTTTTCTTGTGTTTGGAAAACTTTAGTGCAATATTTAAGATGAAATCTTAATTGAATGATTTACAAACTGTATTGGAAGTGATACGTTTTACATATCATTAAAATTACACAATATAGCATCCTTTTAAATGAATTAAGTTACTGAATAAATCATGATTTCAAAAAAGTTTTATACAATAATTTTTTTATCAATGGAAATGAATTGTGTTTTTGAGGTTCCAAGCACACAGTCAATGAAATATTCCTAACTAGTACAAATTGGAAGTTACAAGGCCCTTTAATATGGCACATTCACTTTCTTTTTCTCCTTGTCTATTTTTTCTCCCTATCTCACCATCTTAATCATATATCAAGGATTTCACAGTAACCTCAACCACAATTAATTGCTTTATATGATGAAACTCTAGAAATATCATTGTGATCGAACATTATAATATATGTTTGTGTGTGAAGAAATATGGAATCACTACTTATTTGAAGAAGTTTATCCTAGAATTGTTATTCCTCAAACTTTAGGTTCCAGATTGTCCAATGAAATCATTTTTCATGTCATTATACTAATGCTAGAACACCAAAGTGCAGATGTGCAAGTTCTTTTTACAACAACGATGTCGGTTTGGTACTAACTGTCGCCTATCACATGGTAAGCTACTGTTATTGAGCAAATTGAACCAAAGTGGGTAGAGGTAAACTCACATGGACCTCTTTGTAATAAACTTAACTTTAGCGAGTTTTAAGTGCAGATATTTGATGAGCAGACTCTTGTGTCCTTGTTAACTTTGAGTCAAGTCTTTGTTCAGATTTGGGAGCTAGTTCATGTGAATCAACTTTAGTTTGGGGATCCAAGTTTAATCACTTAAGTGTTAAATAATTTCAGCAGTCAGCATATCAAGGAAAAACTCTTTTTTTATTATTATAATTGTGATTTTTACGATATGATGTTTTTCCATAAGATATAAATTTTTCGTAACATGTTAAAAATATGTGTGGTGGCTTGTGTGCTTTAACCTAGAATAGGTTGGTATAATTATAGATTCATTGCGGCTTTGTGTTTGGCTTTTTTTTTTTTTTTTCTAATTAAAAATAGAAATTTTTTCTGATTCAATGTTTATAGCTTCTTGGCACATGCTTTAAGACACACCAGAACATTGCGGGCTCAGACCAAGAAAGGAAAAAGAAAAAAATTAATTTAGTATTGTTAAAGTGTTAATCCAGAAGGGCCGGCTTGGCTCAGCGGTAAGCTTGCTTGCCGTGGTGTCCCAGGTCGCGGGTTCGACTCGGCCTCCTTGCAAAGCAGGGGTAAGGCGTGACTCGAGTTTCTCTTCCCCAGACACTCACGCAGTGGGTATTGAACTGGGTCGGCCCTTTGTTAAAGTGTTAATCCAATTATTTTTCCTTCAACTTTTTATTACCACCTATATTAGCTAGTAGTTAGTTAAGGGCATTAATTAGTGGCTCAGGTTAGTTCTAACTACTGTATTGGGCAGTTAGGCTTGTAATTAGGTAGTTATTCAGTTAGGCCTTAAGTGGAGAGGTTTAGCCTGATGTATTAATGGAATACTCTAACTGTAAAAGGGGGCTTTTTGGAAAAAATTGAATTCGGCCGAGAATTTCTCAGAGGGAGGGGAGTGCCCTTTTAGAAGAGGTTTTCCTCGTCTAAGATCTTCTGTAATACCATCAATAAAATCATCATCTTTCTTCCATTTATGATCTTCTTTTCCATTTTCCTCTTCTGCCATAACATCTCTAACACCTCCAAAACCAGGGCAGTTACACTTTTGTGGTCGAGAATATACAGGGATTACCCTTTATAATCCCTGTAATTATTGTTTGGGTTCAGAACCGTCTCTCTCCTTCCCTTTTCTACCTGAATTTTAATGTTAGTTTGGATGGTTTCATCAGGTGACCTTGATATATCGTAAGCCTATGTTAAAGTATATGTGATCACTGCTTTATACCATTTGTTTCTTGGGGTTTTGTTTTTTTGTTTTTCGTTTCATTATTGATATATTATGTTTAGTATATTATAATAGCTCATGTACAATCTATATTTTACAGGAGTTGATGTTCAATTGTCCTCCCTTAGGAAATATGTTCCAACAATCTGGAAGCCGTCCCTTGTGGGATCAAGTATATGGGCAGTCTCAAATGCGAATGCAAATGCAGGCATTTGGAGAGAAGCTGAGCTTTCGTCGTGGGACGAAAAGGCTGGAGTTGGACAAGTTGTTTTTCGGGATGATGGAAGTTCTGTGAAGCTTGGTGCAGAAGAAATGGTGTTATCTGAGTATGCAGAAGCTAGTGACTTGGAGAGTGATTCCAGCTTAGAACGATCCGATTCTTGTAGCGACTTCGATGAAGAGGAATCACAAGGTTTAGGGTTTCTGGAGAGTACCAACCTACAGAGAGGTATTCAAACTGAAACTGCTATATTTGCCAAGTGGGAGAACCACACTAGAGGTGTAGCTTCCAAAATGATGGCTAATATGGGTTACCAAGAAGGAATGGGTTTAGGTTTAACTGGTCAGGGAATGCTACATCCCATACCAGTGAAGGTTCTACCACCAAAGCAATCCTTAGATCATGCACTTGAGTCTCATAAAAGAGAAGAGAACATAGGGAAGCAACGTAAGAAACGGAGCAGAGGTGGCAAGAGAAAACGCGAGAAGAAATTTGCAGAAGCAAATCGAGCAGCGAAAGAGGAAGAAGAATCGGCAGATGTCTTCACACTAATAAACAATCAGCTGGCAATGCATGGTGAGGCATTCAATGGTGGTTCAATGAAGAAGCAGCAAAGTAAAGGTTCAGGGGAAGGTAAAAAGGTGGATAGGAGGGTTTTGGTTGCTTATGAGGATGAGGTGAAGGATTTGAAGATGAGGGTTGAAAAGCTTGAACAAATGGTGAATATGAACAAAAAAGAGAAGGCTGTTTATGAGGCTGCTATGAGAAAATTAATTGAAACCCGCAAGGCTTTGGCAGAGGCTGAAGCAGTTCATGCCTCTGCATCAAATGCAGTTGTCAGCAAAGAAAAAGAGAAGAGATGGCTTAAGTTTTAGCTAGGACTTGGGACTCAGTTCTGTTTGTAGTTGCATAATATAATGCCTTCAATTTATGCCAATGTTGATACTTTGAAAAGAAGAGAAGTAGGAAGTGAAATTTCACAGGTGTAATGTAACTCAACTAAGATATTGGTAGATTAATGTGTAGTATGTGGCCTTGTACATGCTCTGCGATTATTCTACTGGACGATGTATGTGTTTTTTTTAATACCAACCAGTGTTTGAAGGCCTAATAAGTTCATTTAATTTGATTTTGGATTTAAGTCTCTTTATCTTTTTCAAGAGTTGTTACAAATGTTGTCAAAATTGAATTTTTACAAAAAAAATAGAAGAGGTGGTAGAAACGTAAATAGTAAAAATGATTAGAAACATGATATTTTTATTATTTAGAGTCAAGATATAAAATTATATATATATATATATACATGTAAAAAAAAAAAAAATTATATAAAGTACTACTCAAAATTCAATGAATAACTTTATATTTAAAAGATATAAGTCATATAATTATGATATAATTTCAAAAACACAAAAAGAGAAAATTGAGTTTAAAAAATGAAAAAAAAAAGATTTAAAAAAATATAAAAAATTGAGTTTAAGTAAAATTTAAAAACTTGCGTTTTTATTGTTTTTACGTTTCTATACAGCTTTTTTTATCCGATAATACTAAGAACCATTTTAATTTACGTTTTAACATATTTTTAAGGGATTGATTAGTCTCATTTAATAGAAGATCTCTTATCTCCTATCACAGACACAACATTCTATCACAGACACAACAAAGCATGAGCCCCATTTATTTATTAAAAAAAAAAAAAACAATGCACCCAAATCGATGTATCAGCTGGAAAGAAAACTTTTCTTCGGTGACATAAGACTATCTTTTCCCTTTAAATAGTGTTTTAACACTAATTTTTGATAACAATGGTTGAGACTCTTGGGGATCGAATTCAATATCTTTTTTACAAAGTTAAGGGGTCGGTTGAAATGAATTTATGGGCTAAGGGCTTGTTTAGTGTGACGTATAAGACATGATAGTATAAGCTTATACTATACGTTATGACATTTTCAGTTGTTTGGTGTGACCATCGTAAGTATAAGCTTATACAGCAGGATCCCTTAATACATCAAAACGATGTATAACTTAATCCGGCCTGAGGGTGAAGGATAAGGCCTGATAAGAGATTGATGTATTAACTTTGTTGACCAATATAATTCTCAAAAATTAATATATTATTTTAATATTAATCTATTAAAATAAAAATTAATTTTTCAATATATTAATTTTTTAAAATTGAATACTTTTATTTTTATAAAAATTAATTTATATTTTGGACACACTCATCAATAAATTTTTATAAAATTTAATAGCATATGACATTGTTTGAAGAATTATATAAATTCTTTATTAAAGGATATTTTTATTAATTTTTTTTATTTTTATCATATATAGTATTATACAGTGTATTACCAAATACTAGATGATATTATCTTATACAATATATTATTTTATACAATACCGTGCCAAACGCTAGATAGTATTAAAATTTAATCAGGTCTTATACAATCAAATCTTATACTATCAGATCTTATATTATCAGACTTTATCCTCTACTATGCACCAAATATCACCTAAGTAACTATAATTACTATTAAATGATGATGTAGGCTAAATAGCTAACTAAATATCAACGTCTTTAGTTGAAGAATCGTGTTGTTTGGTGATAAAATGGATCTTTGGCAATGGACATTTATGGTCTGTGCTGTCTTTAAATGTTGGAAGCAACCAGGCACCAGATACCCTCAAGACACGCAACCTTGAAATGACCTATGGACAACCTAGGGCCTACGAATGTGAACTGAAAATGTTTTTTTTTTTTTTTTTTGAGTTCATTTGCTCTGTGAGACACTAATTATTGGAGATTCACGTTGCAATGACAGCAACTTTATTGTCTTGGACGATATGATTCTACAAGGCAAATCCAATTCAGAAAGGCAAATACACACTTAAACTGGATAGCTGTCACCTTCTCCTTTATAGTAACTACTTGTTCATCATTAATGCAGACTATTTTATAACTCCGTCATCATATTAATAGAACTAGGAGTCTAGGAGCATTATACTTATAGGATCTCGTTATAAAAAAGAGCTAATATTTATATGAGATGGATTTTTTTAATTATAAAATAAATAATTTATTTGTTGAAATTGTGTACAGTTTCTCTTGAAACTTTAGCTATTTCCATTGCATACTTATAGGATGCTTGCATTTATTTGTTGTTTTGTTCACTATTATATTGGCAGCAAATAAGCATACATATGAGAATACGGTATGGTGACACATCAAATTTGTAGTTTGATTTAAGGGAAATTATAGGCTCACATTACATGATATTATTCTTTTCTGTTACTCTCACATAGAAAAATATGTCTCCTTTTTTGCTAAAAAAAAAATAAGTGGACTCCACTTTGTTTGTCCTTAAACAAAAGAGAATATATCTCTCACTACAAGAGAGAAATAATCCCATTAATTTAAATACGGTTATTTTAGTGATCGATATTCAAATTTAACAGACATTAATATATACTGATATATTTAAAATACAATGATTGTTTTCGATAAAGATCACAAATTAGATTTTTGTTTCCACTCAATATTTAGCTTGATAAGTACATGATGCCTTTGCTTTGTAGAATCACATGAATACTTTTTTTTTTTTTTGACTTTCTTATTTGTTCAGTATGTTGAGCTTCACATTTGACCCAATTCCCTGAGTCTCACCTCAATCTTTACGTATGATCACGTACGAGGTTATTCATCCATATCAATGATAGGGATTATAAATGAGGTGAATCAGATTAAGATTTGGACTAAATAAGTAACACCTATATAAAATATTTTAAGTCTGATTTATGCTATGAGTTTGGTTTGGTGTAGATTGAATTGGTTTAGGACTATTTGGTCTACCAAGCTTTCAACACATATTAAGAGTTAGAAAAAATATTAATAAAATTTATTTAAATAGTTATTGTATTTTAATTAAATAAATAATGCAATACAAGTTAACTTATAGGCTTATAGGTCATGCCTTATGAAATAAGCATATTGTTATTTAGAAGAAAGTGGGTGATATTAAAAATCACTAAGAGGTTTAATCTCGTGTATAAAACAAATGAGAATTAATAATCAGAATTATCAAACACAGTGCAATAAGGAAATTAGAACAGACTTACAGTATGTCAGATAATGGAACAGAGTGATAAATGTATGCAGAATAGTGTAAGAAATTTGAGCCCCCAGATAGTGTCTCCTTAGGACAATTTGCCCCCTCACTAATGCCAAAGGTTGATGGACAAGTGTCTCCCAAGATAGAACGGATTACGTCTGAAGATTGATGGAACTACCAGTCAACAGCCCGAACGAACACAACATGATGCCAGAGGAATTACACCAAAAAAGATGGAAGAAAGCATGCAAAACCAGATGAAGAAAAAATCCGACAAAGTGTCAGTGCAGAAAATCGGATGAAATTTCTGAAGGGGTCAGGGTGTATTTATAGATACTGATCGGTCACGATGAACCGCCGCGACTGACGGCTGGGAATGGGTATAACCGGTGACAGGTACAACTGGTGACCGGTTCGGTCCAATTATGAATGAACGTGTCGGTTTAAACCGAAAGGTAAGAATCAGTTTGGTTCAAAAGCCGGCGGGAAGGAACGTTTGGGTTGAAGAATTTTGGAGGGAAGCAACGGATAAGGACATGAGTATTTTATTTCACACACACGTACGAACTGATTCGAGCCGAGCTGGCCGGAAGGCGGCGGCGGCGCGCGCGTGTGTGGTGGACTAAGGGCCACCTAGCTCCTCTCCCCTCCACAAAATTATAGTGCCCCAAGGGGCAATTTAGGAGTGTGAGGTGGGAGCTTATAAACTCCCTCACCTCCTACTAGTTGTGCAATGTGGAACTTTTTAAAACCCACACACCCTTTCAACTTTCTTTTCTTTTCTTCCTTAACTCACTTCTTATTTGTTGGACGTTTAGCAAGTGCACTAATCGTACAAGTAATAAAATGATGAGTAAATATCGTTCCCACGAGGATTTGTGTCAAGCACTGACTAACCATATGTACTTGAGTTGAATCAAACAAAAGTTCATAGATTGCATAGATTTCTTGTCACCAGAAACTACACTGAATTGAATTAAAACTTGATAAATAAATAAAATGTAAATTATAATGTAAACAAGTAGTCAGATGTCATTTTCCCTCAAACATGAATTTATAGATGAACCAATTTCCATTATGAATTATCTACTATGTGATGTTGATCAACCTTTTTCTTATCATCTCAAGATGTAATCCCTTACTACCCTGATAGACACATTAATCAGAAATCCCAATCCCTTGGTGATTCCTTTCTTAATACATGCATTAATTACTAAGGTCTTAAGATCACATCAGAATGCTAGCATCAATCCCTTGACTACTAGAACACTGATGATGAAGTTGTCAAAAATAGAGAAACAATGTAAACATGTCTGTTCTACACTATTCCTCAACATGAAGAATTAATCAAGACAACATCATACAATCATATAATAGATAAACAAAACATCTAATTAACCATTCATAAATTCAAACTTAAGTTCCATTGAATCAGACTACAAAGGACTCTACTCAGACATAATACAAATAATAACAAGAGAAGAAGAAGAAAGATCAAACTCCATTGTCATGATAGTTGAGTCTTCAATCTTCGAGTACAATTACATGAAAGTATACTAACTATTACAATACTAAGTCCTAAGAATTTGGAAAGTCAGAGAAAATGAGGAGTCAGATCAGATCTATGAAAGACCTGATCTGATCTCCCTTCTCCTAGTGTGATGGGAAAAGTCAGAATGAGATATGATGGATTGGATCTGATATCTGGAATCTGTCAGAATGTGAAGGCCCCTTGTCCTTTTATAATTTACAAATTACAACTGAAAACTGACATGGGCGCTAAAACTCTCATTTCTGGACGTTTTAGCGCTCAACCTTGACGGATGCCCAACTGCTTTTAACTGTCTTGGGCGCTAAAACACTCAGTTTTGGGCGTTTTAATGTTCAGCACCAGCATCTTTTGTGCAACAGGGCGCTAAAACGCTCAGTTTTGGGCGTTTTAGCGCCTAAAACTTAGAATCTTCCCCTTCTTCAGAATCTTCTTCCTTTTCTCTTTT